AGCTCAAAGATCTGGAAGTTCCAGGTGTTGATCTTTTCCATGAGTGCTTCATGGTCCACCAGCATAGAGTCCAACCTGAGCTCCTCGTCTCCCTGCCAGTGATCAATCACAGTCAGCAGACAGAAGGTTTTGCTTAGTTTGACAGAAAAAGTCATGCTTGGCATCTTTTCCAGAGATAACAACTAAAGCATTTTACTAAGTCAGCTAAATTTATGTTGTCCTCACACGCTCTTACTGTGGACCCCTTTGGGCAGAACAATAAACTGAGGGTTTGCAGAGAGATCCACTCAAGAGCCACAGCTATAAATCCAGCAACCACACAATAATGCAAAAGCATAGGAATGCAAATAAGCACTCTGCTTCTAAACTCCACTCGGCTTGTTCAACAGCTGGCCACTTTAACAACGGCCAGATTGGCCAATAAAAGGAGTAGGAGAGCGGTGGAATCAAGACGAGGGCATTTCAGGTTACGTGAAAGAAAAGCTCTTCTCTTGCGGGGCTTTCTTAGGCGAAACAGCACTTCATAAATTAAAATTACTCATCCACAAGCAACACTGGATCTTTATTTCAGTTCCTGAGGCAATGTTTTAGACATTAATAAAATGAAACCATGCGGGGATAAAGTGTACATGTAGTTCAGCATGTGTGTGTGCTCTACCTCAGGATCCAATGACGACTGCTCCGTACTGGAGGTCTGTTCCTCTCCCTCAGGCTGGCTATTTAGTTTTTCCCCTGCTGTGTCTGCAGTCCTCTCCTCCTGAGACTCTGCCTCTAAGCTCTCCTCTCGGATCAAGTTTTCCCCACCATACTCCGCTCCTTCAGCTAAGAAAGCGAGCAAAAGCATCATTTTGAGTAATAAACCTAAGGATGGAATCAGGAATGACTCTGTTGTGATAAATGGCATTAGTGTCATAGGTTATTAACTTTACCTGAGCGTGTTCTTTGCATCTCATTGGCTGTTGCATGATGGCCCTCACCCACCTCCATGCTAGCCACACCTTTTATCATCTGTCGGCCACAACTACAAAAAACAAAAAACAATTAATTATGTCGTTTATGAGGTACAACCTAATTGCGAGGAGAAGGGTTCTAGATGTTACAGTACCTGGTGCACAAGGGGGCCGAGGAGGAACCTCGATACTGTTGCTGGAAATCAGGTGAGCTCAGCGTGTAGCCCAGTGGTTTGTGCAGGGTGACACTGGGCTTGGTGAGGAAATCAGCAGTGTCTGGGAACTCCACTGGAGAGCGTATGACCAGAGAGGAGCCGGGAGCAGCAGGGGGACTGTGACTCGGGGAGCTGACGGGACTCAGGCTGGGAGAAGCACCTATAGACATGAAAATCAATATCTACTCATTTATCCAAAAATACATTTCAAAAAATGTAATTCATACAAAAAAGATCAAGTACATTCCTGCTATGATTTAATTTCTGAATTAAAATCATTTTGAATTTTTTTTTGTGGGCTTTAAGTCAAGGTGGTGCAATTGTACAGAGACCACTGTAAAGGTCAGTATTAAAATACTGAAATTCTTGAAAAAGTAATGTTGGCATAAACCAAATATTATTGCTTTTTTCTGTCCAATTAAATAAGTGTGGTGTAGTCAACATACTGTACAGGTGGCCATTTCGTTGTCATGCAACAAGAAAACAACCAGAAAGGACCCCCCCTCATGTTGTGTGTCAAGATCAGTGACCATTGACTTCCATTATACGGACAAAAACATGAAAGACATTTCTCAAAATATCTTTTATAAGTTCCACAGAAGAAAGATAGCCAAACAGGTTTGGAACAACATGAGGGTGAATAAAGAATGACAGAATTTTCATTTTGGATGTACTATACCTTTAAGTATTCTATATCTCACACACATTCATACATTCATTAATTTATTTAACTTTGGAAAATTTGTTTTTACGTTTCACTTACTGGTTACACCACACATTTTTTAAAACCAGTCTATAAACCAAAATATATAAGTAGAATAGGTTTAAAAAAAATTACTTTTTCTTAAAAATGAATAAATAAATACAGACAGACATATAGACAGATAGATAGATAGATCTTGGCTTAAGTATTTTATACTAGATTTCGATTTATTTGTTATTTACCAACATAAGAAGAGGACAGCTTTTGAAATAATGCCACCTCCACAATTATGACATGTAAATCAGTCTGGCTAATCTCCTAACTTTTACAAAATTTGATATGAAAGGAAGGTTATTTCACTCTTGATGGTTGCAGACCTGGTCTTCTGGGTATTGTGTGGCCATAGGAGAGTGTGACGGAGGAGGATCTCTGTTTAGGAATAGTCAGCAAGTTGCTGTTGGGCCCATTAGAAACACAACTCTGGCTGTAGGGTAAAAAAAAGAAGAAATGTATAGAAGTCACATACTAAAATGTGTTACAGCGGAGATAACAATTTTACTGATAGGTGACAGCATAATAAAATGACTTAATCTAAATACTTAATAAAAAAAAGACATGGTGGTATGGAGTATTTTATGAATGACTGAATGTTCCATGTGAGCCTAAGTCAAATTTGTATTAGATGAAGTTTCTTTAGGGATTCTCAACCCAGATTCTGACCGATCGCTTTTTAATACTGCCACCTTGAGGACAAACAGTAAAATTACAGAAAGCACTAAAACCTCAACTATTTGGTCATATTATGACACGCTTGGTGGCAATTACCAATCCACAGATTCAAATGCACCAGTGTTCCTGTCCTTGCCCACCCCAGAGGAGTACAGAGAGTGCACTAAGGTGTAAGAGTGCAGTCGTGAGGCAGTTTGAGAGCTCTGACCTGCTGAGCTCAGAGTGAGATCTCCTTCCATTGGTGCGTTCCCAGCGTGACGAGGCAGACTCCAGTGGGGGCAGAGAGGAAGAGGCTGAACTGCGCCTCAGCTGAGGGGTAGGGAGACTATTCCTGCTGCTCAGACCCTGAAAGTACAAGGTCATTAGGAAGTACTCAATAAACAGGCATGACTTACAGTGCACCAGTCGCAGGGACAATACCTCTGGAGATATCCAAGGGCACAACTGTGCTCAAGGGCACAAAGATGATGGCTACTAGCAGGGACTGAACCAGCAAATGTCCTAATGTCCCTGTATTGATCACTTAGCCCCAAGTTAATATTTTAAAACACTCTCCTAAACTGCCTTCTCACCCTTTTCTCTCACTCATTTGTAGTATTAAAAAGTATTATTTCATTCTAGTAAATCATTGCATTTGGACGGTTCATGAAACAGTCAAGCAGTTTTTTAATTTGGTGCCCAAGAAATATTTTTATTATTATCAATGTTGAAAAAAGGTCCTGCTTAAGTTTTTTTTTTGGAAATTGAGATATACTCTTTTCAGGATTCTTTGAAGAATAGAATCAATTTAAAAAATAAGCTATTTAAAGACATTATAAATGTGACAAATGTACAGTGTTCTTACAGAAAAAAAATAAATAAATAAAAAATCTTACTGACTCCAAACTTTTGACCAATAGTGTATAATATCGGTTCCATAATGGTGATTAGCTGATATCAGAGCCGTTTTTTTTTTTTCATTCATTGTTATTGTCTATATTGCATATACAATGGCTCATACTGGGAATGTAATTGTGCCACATTTCCCATATTATTAGACTTAACTTTTCATAATAAATATCCATCTATCAGACTATACATTATAATGATGTGATGCCTAAATTCATTTTAAGCATTTAAACTGATTTTACTTTTTTAGTATAAACTGTAGTTTATTTTGACAAAATAGCACAGAAATTTACTTTTTGGTCAGTAATCTGCCTTAACATGTATATAATTATCAGATTACCAGCACTGGTCATATCTTTAATATCAGTGCACAGAAAAATACACTCGATTCCAAAATTATTATAATTATTAATTATAAACACAAGATATGTTTATACCTAAATATATAACTATTGTCCCTTGAGCAACAACAATATAATTGCTAGGCCTGTCGCAATAATCAATAAATCAGCCTTGCATTATTATGCTGTTACATTACGATTATGTATTCAGTGGCATAAAATGTCTTTAAAATGACAATAATATCGCTTATCGCAATTATTTCTGGGGCAATATATCGCACAACAAAAAGTTGTTATCGTGACAGGCCTTATAATAGCTACTTTTTGTTAGTAGTTTGTGTGTTGCTACCTACTTTTTTTAAAAGCGTAGCTTGACTGCAGTTACACTACTTCAAATTATGAGTGACTTGTAGCTCGGTGAGGAAAGTCTCTTTCCCAACACTGTGGCTCACCTACCTTCAGTGGCTTTCTCTCTCCTCTCTCTGAGGGGTCTTCGATCTCAGCGCAGGGGTAGAAGCCGGGGAAGGGGGTGAAGGGGTTGACCCGGGGCCGGCACGACCCAGAGAAAGCTCCCATGAGGCTGCTCACACTGCGCAGTGACGAGAGGACGTGTGGTGAGAGAGACGGGTCCATCAGCAGGTCTGAGACCAGGTTCCTGGCCTCGTTTATCACAGAGAGATCCACACCATTGCCACTCACTGCACCCTAAGCAGACAAAGATTAGAATGTCCATAGAATGCAAAATTTGGAAATCTGCTGCATAAAGAAACAACAATTTACCCTGTATGTATTGGTTTATGTGACTTATACTGCCTCCTTGTGGTCATTTAGAAGTACAGCATGATTTTATACATTTTTACATTTGCATTTGGCAGACACTTTTATCCGAAGTGATTTACATTGCATTAAATCTACACCTTTTATCAGTTCATGCACTCCCTGGGAATCAAACCCATAACTTTGGTGTTTTTAGCGCCATGCAATGTTTGAGCTACAGCAACGCTACAGCATGCCATTCCACTACTCCAGTCTTGTGCCAGTAGTAACTGTAGCAAAGAATGACTCATTCGCAGAGCCATCCATTTGATAAATCCAGTCAAGTAGCAGAGACAGTTTTTGATGATATCCACTCAGCGGGGAAAAAGCAACCGTTCATAATGATATTACAGGAAGAACTCTGGGTCTCTATAAACTCAGCTAGTTTTAATCCATCTTCAGCCTTGTGCGTACATGCTGAGCTCATTTTATTGATTGTATTTAATTCAGACCTACATCATTTTTTTTGAAGGGGGTGGTGGTTCTGATGAAAGTAATAAAGTAGAGTGGCGGCACTGCTGCGACCTGCGTGTGTGTGCGTGCTCACATGTGTGTGGGAAAAGTGCACAGCGAGCACTTCCTCCGGGCTTTGACGTCATTTGGCAAGCTTTATGTGAGCCAGGATGAGGGTTATCCACTCGCAGGTCAGCCGCAGTAATGAGCAGCGGGCAGATGGAGGGGCTACAGGCCTCAGCATGCTAACAGGCTACAAACTGTTCTCAGATGGACCATATGAGGCTCATTCAGACGGAAATAAAGTAAGTAAGAGGAGATGCTGGTCTGTATGTGACGGACCACAAAGATTACTCTCTTATTCCAGGCTGGACATAAAGCATTATACAATAAAACTCGGACATAATTAACTTATAATTATATATTTCTAAAACATAAATGTGCTTAACATTTAGAACCAGGCATTCTGAATAAATGGTTACTAAATACATTTTATTTTATACATTGATTTATAAATGAAAGTAGCTCACAAAGCTTCATAAAAAGTGAATTAAAAACATAGTCTGCTTTAGATATTGGCTGTTTAAGCCAGAATGTAATGGGAGTGCAGTTACCTAATAAAACATACATAAATCATGCTGAGAAAATGTTGAAAAGCTGAACAGGAGTTGTACTGACCTGATATTGTGGCTTGTACCATTGTTTAAGGTCCCAGTCCCACAGGATCATCTAAAGGACACAAAACAAAGGCTCTTTAAAGCACATTTCATTCACGACTGCCACCCTGCACAAAACCTATGGAAATTTAAGACAAAGAAGCAGATAAATTAGTTATTTTTATGTTTCACCATGTAAAAATAAACCCATTTCTACGCATTGGTTTGAACAAGCGTTTGATGTGAGATTGAACGTTTTGTCAACACCTGAGCAATGCTTTTCGTGAGTCGAAAGCTGCTAAACGAAAACCTTTCTGGCGCTTGCAGGGAAAAAAAGAAAACCACTGTAACCACAATGAGACGTCAACAATAGCGCTCACAGATCTTATCTAGCCAAACTACGTCATTTGACTGCATTTCCACGTTATCTGTCTCAGAGGCTCAGAGGAAAGTCACCCAACAGAAGCCAAATCCCACAACACTATCACCAAGATAGGTCACAGGCTGTGTCTGTTTTTTGGTATCATCGTAGCAAAGCAACTTTTACAGTTACACTGCAAAACAAGTTGTCCAAATATACATATATAAAAAAAATATGATTGAATGGTCTTGTAGACTGAAACTTCACTAATCCATATACCAAATTAGAGGCCCGAACTTCAAAACAAACTTGCACAAGTCACAATCAACATGTTTATAGCAACAAAACAAATATACATTTCACACTCTAAACAGACATTTGAGAAATGTGATTTTAATATGCATTCAGCTAAAGATTTCTTGGTAACACTTTACAATGAGGTTCATTAGTTAACTACTTTAGTTAACATTAAGAATGAACAATAGGCCTACTTCTACAGCATTTATTAATCTTAATGTTAATTTCAACAATTACCAATGCATTATTGAAATCAAATGTGGTGCTTCTTTACATTAGTTAATGGATTGTGAATTAACATGTACTAACAATCAACGACTGTATTTTCATTAACTAACATTAATAAATACTGTACTAAATGTATTGCTCATTGTTTGTTCATGTTAGTTAATACATTAACTAACATTAACTAATGGAACCTTATTGTAAAGTGTTACTGATATCTTTTTCGTTTGGCATATTTGGGAAGTATGAGCCATATTAGGCTGGTTGACAAAAAGTAAGGTGTTCATTTATTTTTAAACATCAAGATTTTGGTTAAAATGTATATGAATATATAAGGGGAAAAAAATAGATTTTAGGTGCAATAACTAATAAATACGTTTCTGACTATTTTCCTGGCCACCTTATATTTTTGCAATACAATTCTACAGTCCTACAAAGTGACAAATTAATTTTTTTAAAGGACAAATTCCATGCAGTTTTGTGGCCTCATATTAATTAAAAGACTACATGTATATAGTTTTATAAGAAATAGAAAAATGTTGGATTTTATAATAACAACCCATTTATTTATTCTGAGTCTGGTTTATTTCTGTTTACAACAATAAAGAGATCAAATCCTTTCTTTCAAGGATATAGAAAACTTTTCAGGGAAAACTGACATAAATTAATTTAGCAACCAAGCAAACACAAATTAACCAGAGTTCACCAGCATTACCAAAACAGTGGCATGTCACAGTTCTAAGATAATCAGACAAGCAAAGTTCGAGAGAGTTCTTGGCCAACAACGGCTCATATGTAAGCAGTCGCCATGTTAAACTCAGAAAGTCACTGTAACTGAATGGCAGCACAGCGTTTGCCCACATGGGGGAGTACTGGTGATATGCGAGAGAACATAACAGACAAAGCAGAAGTCCCCTGCACCTGCGCTGGCCGTGTCATGCGTCACTTCCAGCAGCTCTGATCTTTAAAACCAGCAGCACTCTGAGGCACTCAGAGCTGTCCAAAAGACATGACCACAGAGAGCAACAGATGGAGCTGATGGAAACACACTCACCTGCTTTCACTGAATCAAAAGAGTAACACATAAACCAAGACACAAATGAAGAGTTCAAATGACTTAATTCCTTGTCTGGATTGGGATTTGATTACGATGTAGACACTGTGGCCTCTTGCTCTCAAATCCGATGTTTTACTGATCAGACAGTGATGATCACTGTTAGCTGTCAGCATCTGCTTAACACCATCAGACATTTAGTATGGCAAATAAGCACTGCCATGGCAACCTGACAGAGGCCAGCAAACAATAGTACAAACGTCACAGCATTCAGAATGGCGGGAGATCGATCGAGGAGAGATCGAGGTGTCTGACACTTTCTCTCTCCAACACCGGGAAGGTTCTGTGGGTCAAAAATGACCACTTAACATCTGACTGGTCAGATACGATCCCATTAAATCGAGCATAGAGCTAAATAAGTACATAAACATAGACTCGAGTCTTGACCCCTCTGAATGCCCCACAATGTCACAGTTACTTAAGCAAATCTCGCTATGTTCTTTACGCTCTGTTGAGCTAGTAAGCTTCACAGATGGAACAGAGATTAACAGAAAAATAAAGGAGGGTCCGTTTCACAAAATCGGCTTCCTTGAATATTTTACAATATTTTGACTCTATACCTGCTATTAAGATTTGTTTGGGTGAAGTGAACAGCACTAAATGCGGGTCCAAAATTAGCTAATTCATACATAGCTGAAAAAGCATGTGTTCACATTGCATTTAGAGTTTAAATGCTAATCCGTCCTGATAGACTACCATTCAAAAGTTTGACATCTTTAAGTTAAAATAATAATAATAATAATAAATTTATTTAGCAAGTGTGGGTTAAACTGATCTAAAGTGACAGTAAAGAATTTTAAAAGAAATCCTATTTTAAATAAATTCCCTTTTATGTTTTCTCTTTTTCAAAGTATCCTGTAAAATATGTATAATTATTCCTACAAAATATTAAACGGTACAACTTGTTTTCAACATTCATAATAATACTGTACTTTTTTAAAAAGCAAATCAGCATATTATAATGATTTCTGAAAGGTCATGTTACGCTGAAGAAAATTCTGCATTGCCATCACAGAAATAAATTCAATTAGCATTAAATGCATTAATATTAAATCACTAGTTTAAATTGTAATATTTCACACTATTATTGTATTTTAGACCTAATAAATACCGCCTTGTTGAGTATGAGACTTCTTTAATTCAAATACATTTGAGATAAATCGACTGATGTTGACATGCAGTGAGACAGATCACATGAACCACAGCTGAAGTAAAGTAAAGTAGGTAAAGGACAATTCCACTTAAAACATCATGTTTGTTTTTAGATTAAAATGCATGTATTTTTGAGAGTAACATACGCAGATTTTCCTTGTACACTCTGACGCAGTCAGTGATGTATGTAGTCATGAAATCAGAGACTTTCCCCTTGAAATCCGATCACAAGTGGTCACAGGAGACGCACTTGAGACGCACTATTCATGTAACTACCTGGTGTAAACACCTGTAAAAAGTTAACTCCATATATCTCAATCACTATTTTCAAAAAAAGTTTTATATATTATAAAAGGTCAAAAAAAAAAAAAAAGTCTTTTTACAAATACAATGAATTTATGAATCTCATGAATAGTGTGTTGTCTTACTAGAGTTGCACCATTTGCTATAGCCTTGATATAAATCAAAAGGTCAAATCTAAAATATTACCTAAAATGTCTTTGAAAGCAGTCTCTTATTGCTCACTAAGGTTGCATCTGTATGATAAAAAATAGTAATACTGCGAAATATTATTAGAATTTAATATAAATGTTTTCTATTTTAATATATTTAAAAATTTTGTAGTTTCCAGATTTGCTGCTCAAGAAACTTTTATTATTATTATTATTATTATTAATGTTGAAAACAAATATTTTTGTGGAAAGTGTGATATTTTTTTTCAGGATTCCTTGATAAATGGAAAGTTCAAAAGAACAGCATTTATTTAAAATAGAACATTTTTGTTAGAACACAAATGTAAAAAGACTTGGCTGTTACTTTTAAAGCATCCTGCTGAATAAAACTAATTTCTTTAAAAAAAATCTACGTCAAATAAATTCTGTTATTCAGTATGTTCTAATTAAAAAATGTATGACTGTTTCCACCAAAATAAGCAGCACATCTGTTTTCAGCATTTTAATAATGAAAAAATAAACATTTATTATTATTATCATTAATGTTGAAAACAAATATTTTTCTGGAAAGTGTGATACATTTTTTTCAGGATTCCTTGATAACCAGAAAGTTCAAAAGAACAGCATTTATTTAAAATAGAACATTTTTGTTAGAACACAAATGTAAAATGTCTTGGCTGTTACTTTAATGGATCCTGCTGAATAAAACAAAATTGCATTTTTAACACATTTATATATAAAGAGATTTAGACAAAAAAAAAATCTGATTAAAAACCAAGCAAATAGTAGCAGAACAAACACCCATACATGTGCAAAAATACACTCCCTTAATCCGACCCACAGGCAAAAAGAGACAGTCTTGTTCTTTAAAGGACAGATAACCTGCGAGTGTATTGTGGGGAAAATGTGTCATATAGTATTTGCATTACAAAACACCAATTTAAAACACTCGAAAGTAGACTCTAGTCTGCAGATATTCGCCTACATAAGGTCAAAGCCATCATACTTTACGTAAACCTAAAGCTAACACAAACGACATGTGGGAACTTTGCTGACAATGAGACTAAATAAAAATGAGACATCAACAAGACTGAAAAAAAACCCGAACTTCCGCTACTAAATTATCTTTATGAGAGAGTCAGTGTGTTGAGGTGTGAGACGGAGAGTATAATAAGAGCATTGTGTGTTTGTGTTTGAGAGAATCTCAGTCGAGTGGCTAAATAACTGCACACCGTCTGAAACCAAGAGGCCAACCAGGGCTGGCCAAACAAAAACAGCATCATGAAAGCCACGGCACTACACAGAGCCAGTCAAGAGCTTCATCAACACACAACAGACCAGCCAGTGAACCAGAACAACTGATGAACACATATCACTTCACATGCAGAGAGACAGTGTTAGAGAGAGAGAGGAAAAACACCAGTCTGTACTTCATGATTTTTGAAAATGAGAAACCGGTCTTATTTGATTAA